CAAAATATGTCTTAAAGGGTGGCAGGGGATGCTGGCTAATTATGTACCAAGCTAACTTCTTGGTTTTCAGCTGAGGGTTACAGAACACCTGGCATTTTTGGTTGCATTTTAAAACATATGGCCAGTTATTCGGACTTTTTTTTTTTTTTGGTGACTTCTGCATCCTTTAATTTTTAAAGCAACAACAAAACTCCAATGTGACAATTAAATTAAGACAACTGAGAGCTCTCCTGCCATTGTTAACACTTTTCTTGTCTTAAGAGGGTGTTCAAAGGTGGACAATGCCTAGTAACTGATGGGATGGAATGAAAATAGCAGCTCTGGATGTTTTAACTAGAGATTTCCCACAGCAAGTGACACTCTCTTCCTTTGCAGAAGGGACTCTTTTTGTGAAGCAGAATTGCTCGGTGAGACTGTGTGCTTAGTTTCACAAATTGAAAAATAATCAGCATAATGAAACCTCAGAGCCAGCCCCACTTCTTGGCATGCTCAGTTACCTTTGGGATTACACAACCACGCTTACTTCTGCAAGTGTGAGAATTTTCTTCTTCCTTTCTTCCATAAGTGAAGCCAAAATGAAATAAAATTCGTTTTGCCACATGAAGGACTTGATCTTTGCCAACTTGAATTATTTGATCAATTATACTTTCAGTGCAAATCATATCAGTCATGTGGAAGGACAAAAGACAGCCACTTACAAACCCATCCAAAGTAAAGACAATGGGTTAAGGCAAGAACATCCTGCAGTTGTGATCAGTAATTTATCAAAGGTTAAAAAGATAAAACACAGACACCAACCATATATCAGCTTGTTTGATTTAAGAAGAATTCTAACCTAAGCATCTCAGTTACTCAGGTATGGTGTAATAAGCAGGAAGGAAGAGAAAAATAGTTCATATACAAGAAAAGGAACAGAAAGCAATGAATCTTGCTTCTAGCTGTTAATACAGGTTCAGTGTCATGCCAGCAGAGTAGCTGGGCAGCCAAGTGAAACTGGAATCTAGTTTTCCACATCCACAAAGGGATGATCATCATGATCAGCAATGTGATCCCACAGTTTGAAAAAGTTTAAGAAAAAAAAAAAAGTGGGGGTGAAAGAAAAGATACCAGAAATTTAAAAAAGCATGGACAAACCCGGGAGCAGCCAGTCACACTGGTATTTTCTTTGTGTTGGAGTATAAATTTACAAGTAAAAAAAAAGTCTTATTCACAACTGATTTACCACTGTATCTCCAAACTAGTAGATGATGTTATTATCTTTTCACCAGCTTCTGTGAAGTGAATTGCCTATGGTCACACAATTAGCAGAATCACTTCACATTCCCAGCCTAAACCAGCTATTGAGATTTGATTTTTTTTTTCCTGAGCAGGAGGAGCACTCCCATTTACTCTAAACAGAGCAAGAACAATCACCCAGACTTCTTGTACTGCTCTCAAAAATATATTTTAAAAGTAACAGTCTGAAGATTTAGCACATGACATTACTGCACTATCTGGAAAAGAACATTGATACAAGTGGGAGACATGTTCTGAGAAACAATAGCTCATGTTTATAACTCACAGGAGATTATATATACCCCTTACTTGCTAGCCCTGACAGCATCCATTCCCATGAACTGTTAAAGCCCCATTTCCACAAATGGAAAAGGTTAAACGGGTATTGAGTATTACCTTGAAGAGAAAGTTTGCAATGGAAGTAATTAACGGAGGGTTTAAGTTTACCTTTCTCAAAAGCATCAACACCATATGCAACAGCCTGTACTACTAACAGACCTGACCTACAGAGCTTGCTTTGTAGGATTCTGCAAGACTTCAATTACCTCCTTTACTCCTTAAATAACCATCAGGGTCATTTAGTAGCTAAGTATATTTGAGCAGCTACATATATATATATATATAAAGACAATAAACCCAGCCAATTAAATCCATGAAACACTATGGAGTTACTCACTAATTATTAGTACTAGGTAGCTGCATATAGAACAAGATTTTTCTCTGTTGATTACAGATTCGTCCCAGCAAATAAGGCAACTTTTACACACTTCAGCACTAAACCATTCTTTGTGGCAGGTTCTGCCCAACAATTAAGCACCTCTCCACCCTCCCTTCCACTGGGCATTTTACTGAATGAAAGTTGTGTTCTGGGATGCAATTTATTTAAAAACATTTATTTTAGGCAAAATTAAACAGACATTTGAGATTACATAAAATACAATTTCCAATTGGATCACATAACCTTTTCATTAAAAATGCATTGTTGTGTTGATGTAAGTATTTTTGTACTGATTGACCAGGTATGTAATATTTAACCATGCCATTTGCAGTCAATTATAATAAAAAACAGTAACGAAAAAGGTTTCTTAAAATGTGCAAATATTATTTTGGTGTTACCATTGATAATAAATGACCACTAAATAGATGCTTATTATGTAAAGCTTTTTAAAGTACAATAAAAATACAAATTCTATTTGTTAAAAAAAGCCATTCCTATGGCTACTAAACATCCTCATTATACAAATTCCAAAATACTATATGACAAACAAAATTATAAAGATTTCTCTTTATGAAACATACACTATTAGTGATTTGATATATTTTAATATATATATTCATATATAACACTCTACATGAATGTTGAATACAGAATAGGAAAGAGGAAGACTAAAGTAATAATCCAATTCATTTTTGTGGACTTCAAAGGTATATGCAGAAGTATGTTGTTGAACAAGGCATAAACATATGCATGTGGTGCTGAATTTGCAAACTGTTTTTTCATTGTGAACTGTAACTGTTACAGACAAAACCATAAGTATTAAAAAAAAAACTTCTAATGGAAAAGGAATGAAAACAAGAAAAATCTAAAATTTTGTTTTTTTTTTCCACATCTGTGTGTTTTGAGGGAAAAATACTAGAGTTTTTAAAGTTTTTGAATTGAAATAATGTTCAGTTTATGCATCAAAACACTAATGATAATTTTCTGAGATAGGTTTAAGATGGTATTTTATTGCTTATGCTGAAGATTAATGAAGAGTATGCATAAACAGATCAGCATTCAACTTGCTAGCAGCTGAAGACTGCAGTTACTTCTGTAACAACCAGTGGGTATGAAAGACTTATGAAGTTATACAGAATTCTTACAGCAAGCTTTAAAATTATTAAAATTATTTAAAATTATAGTAAGACTTATTGCATTAAAGCAGACAGTGAAAAAAAAATCAACAGAGCCTGACTGTAAACACTCAGGTGTTGAAAGTAACTTACAGGACTGAGCCCAGTAAATGGAATGCCTGCTTATATACAAAATTACATAAACTCCTAAGTAAATGCAAGACCATAATCTTCTTTCTAAGTTATGGTTATCATATAATGAATTCCATATTACATACTTTAAAATTCAGCTATAAAATATCAAAAGGGCGGGCAGTTACTTTGTCCAGTCTGCAATTAGCAGTTCTTCTATGCTCATTAAATACTGATAAGCATACTAACAATTTGTTAGTTTATAAAACATGAATTAAGGACCTAAAAGTCTTCTGGATTTTGTAAACTAGTAATGACATATATACAGCATAGTAATGATACACAGTAAAGGAGATCAATTACACGGCATCCAGATTTACCTTTTAAGCATGTATTAATGGTTAGTATTTTCTGCCTTTTCACTGCAATTTGAACATTTTTTACTAAATATTAAACATTTTACTGCTTGAATATTAAATAATGACTTAAAAGCATAATTTCAAAATGCTGCCAGGTAAAGTATTACATGTAAATCATGCTTGCAGGTCTGCAAACAGAGAGAGGTATGTGCGAGCTTTCTGAAGAACTTCTCCAGGCTAACAGTCATAAAGCATAGTAATCTGGGGCAAAATGTGAGAGAAAGAAACATAACAGCGTAATTTAATTCATATTTCATAAACAAATATAACTTCTTACATTTGTACAGGGCAAGACTAGAACTAAGTTGGATTTTTACAGAAGCAAATCTCACAAGAGTTTACATGTTGAAAAAAGCAATTTTTGGCACATGGATAATATCTACGAATACATGTTCAGGATTAAAAAAAACAACCGAACAACACTGTGTAGGATTTTCACATATAGTTTCTTGGCATCAGCACCTGCTGTCTAGTGGGTCAAGACAAAACACTGTGCCTTCAAGAGTTAATCCCATTTTGAACCCCTCCTGCAATGAAACAAAACATAGTTAACTAAAAGGAAAGTGACTTTTTGAGGGTTAAACTCTTTCTAAAAACATCTGAATTTAGCCTAACTTTAGGACATTTCTCTCTTTATTTTGGAAGAAGCAGAATAATGGCTGAATTTTGGCCTGACCTTCAAGAGAAAAGTTACCTCTGATCAAGAAAATTTCAGTCTGTTAGGTAAAAGTACTGTAAAGTTATAAGCCATTGGAAACAAGGGCTCTGAATAGAAATGCTATGAGAACATCATCTCCAGGGACAGCTGCCATAACCTTCAGTTCACCATTGTCTTAACATACAGTTCACTTAGATGTTGATTGCATGCTATGAAATCAGTAATAGGTGCTTTCATGAAGCAAATGTCTTGCAAATAAAATAAATCTTCTTGCAAAGCAACCTGTACTGGGATTACGCATAAACTCAAGCCTTTCCTCACAATGTACTGCAGTAGCTGAAGCATGCCTTTTAGCTTCGAAAGATAAATCCCAAATCAAACCAGCTTAATTTCAAACAGATTTAAACCACAGGCTAGAATTTTGAAAGCATATCAATAATTAATAACCCCACCAGCTACTGCCATCAGAAGAGTAATACTGAGAAACAGAATAAACTTCCTGGCAATAGTTATTAAATGGTCTGAGATTTTCCAATTAAAATTTGAATATTCCTACAGGCAAATCCATTCTATGAGATGAAGAGCCAGTAGCTCCAACTGTGTCACCCAGTTTGCCCTACCTGGATGACATGGTGCTGCCAAAACTCACCAACATATTTGACTTTTTTTTCCCTTTATTCGCCCTGTACTTCTCAAAGGGATAACAGGATTTGAAAAAATATTTCAAGCAAAAGATATCTGATGCTCCAAGTCAAACACCTCCTGTTGTTCATTTACCAAAAGGATATTATTAATTGATGTAACTGCAGTCACAGAAGGGGAAATTCAGAATTAGCCCTACAGTCTATCCTATCATATTGTAAACCCTGCAGTTATTACATTGTGTCTGAAATGCTTACCTTTTGAAGCACTTCAGATATGCTCTGAAGCGTATCTAAAGGCTGCTTCCAGTTTTGTGATTGTAAAAGGGATAGTTTGTGCTTCAACCTGAGGATGCTTGATAGAGGTACAACAGAGGTACAACAGCTACAGCAACTATTTTAGCAAGGACAACCATCTTCATTTTTAGCAATCCAGAGAGGCCTTCACAGAACACGCATCTCATTCATGTCCTGCATGCTCTTACCTTTCTATACATTCAAGCACTGTTTGTTGCTGTCTTAAGAAGCTGCACTTCCAATGCCTTTTCTCTGGCTAGCTAAAAGCAAATCAGCTTATACATTTTGGAAGCACATACATCCCACTGCTTTTATGTTGATCATGTGTGATTTTTTAATTTTTTATTCCATACAAAATGGTATTTTGTCATTTAACACTTAGCTTGTGTTTGCTGTTACTGCTTTGAACTATTTCTGCTTTCTTGAAGAACAATGCTCTCCTTATCTTTCCTTCTTTAACTTCAGACCACTTTCCCCCCTACTTAGTCCTCCTCCTCTTTGAAGATATGATATTCTGCATTTAAAATGATCATATTTTCACGTACTTGGAATGTGATCAGCATTAATCCATTCAGAGATTGCTGCACTATATGTATCATAATTATTTTTAAAAGCATTTTAACTTTATTACCATAACTATTGTCTGTTGTAAAAGAAAACAGTGATGTGGCAGCCAGGTGCTGTTACCAGTTGCGTACTTGAGAACCCAGCTTCTACTATAGGCAGAACTGATAAGGAAGGAAAACCTACTACTACAGTATCAGGAACTGGAGTGTTAACATATTCATACTTTAAAATGGCTCATGCACTTAACTGTCTATAAAAGGAACATGGCATTTCAATGTTCATCTGTTAAATGACACAAAACAGACCGTCATTAAATGTCAGATAATACAGTTACTAGCAGGTTCAAAGTTCCATGTCAACCACATGATCAAAAAAGCCCAACAACATAAAGAGGACATCAAAGTAATCTAGATCGCCAGCTGGGGATTTTTCAGGGTTTAAAAGAATGTAAACCTCAGAGGTTCAGTTTTCTGTTTGTTTGGTTTTTTTCATGAAAATCTAAGTGAAGGACAAGAAGTGCGTAGGAGTTTAAACCAAAGAATTGGCTTAACTAATGTTCCTATTAAATTAAATGCAGTCTTCAAAAAGGGGGGGATAATAAATCAGAACATCCTTGTCTAGCGGATTCCTTGGCAAAGCGATTGCCATAAAATTTCCAAGGATCACAAAAGCATGGACTTCAGATCTCCCCAGCCATCTCTATTCCTAATCCTTCAAATTTTGCAAAATAACTCCAAATTCTTAAATGGTTTTTGGACTCTTCAAACTTGTATTTTGGCAAATATACACTGTATTTTTTAAAAAAGGCAATTAGCTGCAATCAAGCAAGCTGTGGGAGCATAAGGTTTTAAAAAAAGATTCTCCTTTATGTTCAGACACAGCTGAAGTGTAATTAATGCAGATAATAGAAGTATCCTATGCTTCAGTTCTCACAGCTATGCAGAACTCTTCTGAGCTTTATATCTGCTTTCAGGAATACACTTTATACATACATCTGAACTGCATACATCTCTGTCAAATCCTCTGGCTCCTACTTGAAGCTGCTATATTATTAGTATCCATTACACAGTATATGTCTACTTCAGACTCTCCACTTCAAAACCCAGCATTTGCAGCTGTCATAATAATGAAGTCAGTTGGAATGACCAAGCAGATTACAAATTATGATTTTTTCTCTTTTTCTAATAAACTCAATTAATGTGCAATGCAGAATATATTTTCTTTTAAAATGACATAATAGTCAGCACTTGATACACATTACATACTATATATATTAAAGGTTACATTAATTTTAATACACAGCATTTAAAGTATTTTGCCTTGTGAAATTCAGACACTTCAGCTTCAAGTAACATGTCTTAAGCATAACACACTGCCTGTTCATTAAAACACATGTGTGCCACGGCTTCCTGTACTTTAAAGATTCATGAAAGAGTAACTCCTCATGTGATCAGCAAATCTCTCAAATCTGCTGATTTTTAGGGAATGCAGAAAAGGCCATTCCCTGTTACTGGACAGGAGTGGAAGGGCTATGAAGTGCGCATCTATATTGCACCTTGCTTCTCTGTTCATATCCTCATGATGACTATGTCAAGTAACTTTTTATTTTCAAGGTGATTTAATACAAGGACTGAACATCTTAGTTACCCAGATGAATAACGGTATTGAACTAAAGGATATGATTGGTCTCTTGAAGAGAGTAGCAAAGCTTGTTTTCACTAGTGAAAGCAACCTGAAAACAAAGCCTCTTCCAAAACACCCACTTTTTTAGTTTCTCTAAGACATGAGCTATTCTGGTTAAAAACAGTAAACAGTAAAAGACAAAGAACTCTTTTTTTCCCAGAAGATAAATTTGCCAAAACCTTACTGCTTTGAGATTGACCCGTCACTTCACAGTAACTTCACTTCATGAGCTTAAGTCAATGCAAACGCTATGAACCAATGATAAATTTACACATCTCTGAGATGATAATTTAAAGGGCTGAGGGTAACTTATTTCAGATAGAAAGACATCAATCCTACTGACTGCTTCAGGGCATGCAGGGGAATGGCTTGCAGCTCATGGAAGCTTTGAGATTTTAATAAATTATAGCAGCTGTTGCTGGTATGATTCATGATCTAGGGAAACTTCCCCTCAACTGCAAGATTTCTGAGAAAACAGACAGATTAAATTTATTAATGTCTGAATGCAGTAAAAATAGTGAAATTAAAATATGTTTCAGCATAAAGGTGGGGGAAATGGAAGGTTGAACAGTCATCAAGAGAGAGGCCTGAGCTGTAAAAGTCACATCTCAGTATGAGTTTTGAGCTCTCCAAAAAGATCAACAGAGACTGAACTGAGAAATGGAACAGAAAGAGCTTAAGTGTGAAATCTGGACCCTCCCTGAAGTTTAAATACAAAAGTGTTCTCCCAGAGGTCAGGAAAATTTATCTGATCTTTTTAAATTCAGAATATTGGATGCAAAGAAAAGCACCCACTACTTAAAGGGCTTATTCTCCAAAGCCTCTGCTGTGCTGCACCTTCCCTTCTCTCTTTGCTTACACATCACCTTCCAACACACACATACACTGAGACAGCTTTTCTGCAGACAGGCATATGTTTGACAAGGCATCTGACATAGCTTTACAGGAGAAACAGGGTAAGAGAGTCTGGACTGAGCTGCTCCAATCAGGTTGTCACTGGCTGCTGCTGAGACAGCTTGCTTACCACTCAGTGCAGGATAAGCTGTATTTAACGCCCTCTCAGAGTGAGTCTATATATTTGAACTATTAGATGTGGTCATAAGCAACTTACCTTTGTGTATTTAATGGAATATGTATTTACTGAAAGTCAGACTGTACTTTCATAATGTGAACAGATTCCTTCAGTTTGCATTCCAGAGAAGGAAAGAAGCCTGTATTTTTCTTACATGTTTCTTTACATTTTCCAGAGTACATTGAATATTCTGTGCTTTTACCTTTTGCAGCATCCATTTCACCTTCCTTCTTATCAGCTGTATATCTAACAACCACTGACTTCTAGTACAGCTATCTTCTGCTCATTTCAAGCTTTTAAGTAATTATTTCCAAGTAAAAAAACATTCACAAATGTGACTGTATTACATAAAAATATATGTATCTAAGGTTTTGCTTAAACCATTTCACTAAGGACAATCTGATAACGAAGACTGGAGATTTCACTAGTACACATGGAAAATAAACAGCAATGAAAATAAAGGCTTAGTATTAGAAGCTGATAAGAAAAAGAATCAGCTTTCCTACCTTAAAAAACTGCAGGCCACTAAAAGTTTTAAAAGTTACATGAAAGATTTACAGATGTACACACATATTCATAAAAATAAAGACACCAGACATGAACACATGCACACTTCAATTGTAAATGCATTAAATATCATTATTAAAAAATGATATACCAACCATCGCTGACGCTAGGCACCAAGGACAGCACAAGAAGATAAAAGAGATATTAATAAAAATATGTTTCAATCTGCATTTTACCACCTAGTATAATACTGTACATAACTTTTGTTTTGGACAAAGTTAGAATTGTTAGAATTTTATTTTTATTTTCATACCTTGTTAACTTTATACTTGTTCTCAACTGGATTATATATGAACAAGTTTTGTTTCTACATATAGACCCACTAGTTAATTTTCAGTGGAAGTGTCAGGGTATGCTAAGACTGATAGACTAGACGCTCCAACTGCGAGATAAAGCATACAAAACAAAGCTGGAAAAACAAAACTTGTATGTGCAGAGGGGAATGCAGGACCAAGGCAATATTCTTTGCAACGGGGTGTAATAATAGCATCAGGTTTGGAGGTTTTGTTATTGTTTGTCTGCTCTTTTGGTCAAGAGAATACAAACAAGGATGCGAGTTTCTCATTTTATGACTTTGAAAATCTTTGATAAGGATTTCTAGTGTTCCATTCACTGATGTTTTATGAGGAGATAGCACTTTGCAGGCTTATATGCTAACAATCAAACTAACATTACCTGTAATAAGAACTCTTATAGTGTGTGACGCTTGGGTATTTTCATAGGATTCTTCCTAGTAGCCAGAGATGCTACAGTATACTTTTTCCTGAAGTGGGCTATAGACAATGGAAACACTGATGTATATCAGTGTGAGTTGCTAGAAGATTTGCTTTTTGGGCTAAAGGGCTTGGCAATAACATTATTTAATTTACAAAACCCAAGCATTTTTACGGGAATTGCAAAGAAGCCAATTTTGGCTTTTATCTGCTATCTGAAATTATATGGGCCAGAGTACAGGTGACCAACAATCTGAGTTTTTTACTTCACTGTGAGTGGAGTTTGCCAGGGGCAACACCCTAAACTGACATGGAAAATGAAATTTCATGGTGAATAGGAATTAAAAGATTTTACTCAGGAAAACTAAATGGTGTTTAAATCTTATTTCAGCCATTTTGAAATGTTTCTGCTGCTCTCCAGGCAGAAAAAAGGAACTGAAGGAGCTGGAGAGCTAGCTCTCTTGGACCTTGTGGGATTTTGAGAGAAAAGAGGGCTAGAAGCCCTGGGAACACTTTCTTCTGAGGAGCCAAGATCCTAGAAATTCAAGTTTCCAGTATTTTCAGCTGTCTGTTTTGCTGGCAGGCTGCTGAAAAACACACAGATAAGCAAGCTGGCAAGGAACTAGCACTCTGGAAAGTCTGACTGAAGGCAGTGAGTTATTCCAAAACTTGATGGCTTTCTCCTAGAACTGCTTCAAAATTGGATCAGCAACTGAACAGATACAATTGAGTGTTTTAGAATCAGCAAACATTTTCTGACAAATGCTTCCACTCAGAATTCTTGAATCAATTCTCAACAGTTTTAAGTGCTCCAGAGTGCCACAGTCAAATACAGCTGGTTTTAAAGGCACCTGAAGCACATACTTTGCCTGTGGAAATGCTATGAAAAACCAGACTGATATCACTGATGGAAAGATGAGGGTAAACTGGGATGATGGTGATTGCTAGAACTGAAGAGTAACAAGATCAGTGGATCTGTAGGGCTCTTGCCTCAGCTCTCTTTTTTTAGTTCCCTCAGAACCTTCCCAGATAGGAACAGCAGTATCCAATTTGATTACACTGCTGTGAACCCCTAAATTAGTGCAGGTGTCCATATTAATACCAAGTAAGGATCTTCAAGCAAATTCAAACTCCAACTCAAAGACCATGAGACACACTTACAAAACGAAAGTCAAAACCGTTTTTTTCTGTATGCATTTGTGTGTAGTCCAGAATACATTTTCAGAATACTGTAAACATCTATTTCAAGAAGAGTCATACGGCCACAGAAAACTGCATAATTGATAACTTCGTAGTTACCTGCATCTCATCTAGTTTGGACTGAATGTCTGGAGGGAAATCTCCTGCTCCACAGCTAAAAGGGTCAAAAGGTTCTGCTCCAAAAAGGTCTCTCTCTGGAACAAGAGAAAAGTGAGTCACTGAGAGAAAAGGTACGGGCTACAACAGTAACTCTTTGAAAAAGCCAGCTTACATCTCCTTAAAGGCTGAACAATAACACCTCCAGATCTACAACTGATTAACCACAACATCCAAATTTAAAGCCAGGTCTTGATTAGTTTTCCTAAGTTTAATGTTCAAATTTTTCCAAGAACACCATCAACCTCTGTTGAAGGCTCACTCAGATTTCATTAACACTTCTGCCTCTTAAAGGAATTTTGGGGATCTGATAAGTTGCAATTTGAAGAGGGTATCTCCAAATTAAATATGCTCTCGATTCGGTGTGTATGAGGAGTTTCAGAAACGGGAAGGGAACAGGACATCGGTTGTCAAATTTCACCCTAATATTATGTCAGAAAAATATTCTTGCAAACAAACTACCCTTCATGTCCCCTGTTTGCCACTTCCCACCGTCAGGGTTAAGGACATCTTCATAAAGACAACATCTACTCTTCATCATGGAAGGGAAGGACTTCATTTGGTAAGAGTTCCTCAGTGCACAGCTGATATTAACTAACACTATTTGTTAGGGTTTTAAAATGTTGGATAAGATCAAGTCAAAAATGAATGAAAAAAATATGGGACCATGAAAAATCACTTATCCTAAAATGCCACTAAATCTGGATCCATAATGGAATGAGTGCAAATTTCTCTCTTTCAATACCATACATCAATACCATACAGTTTCTCACTTTCCTTAACTGTAGTATGCTTTGTAGCAGTCAGGGGATTCTCCAATCCTTTTTTTTTTTTTTTGAACAGTTTTTTCAAATCTTCAATTCCCTCTACATGTAATGTTCCATCTGTACAGTTTTTCTATCCCACACTGGGTTGAACTAAAGCAGTAAGAAAATTATTTTGCTACACCTACTCAACCACACTGATTGCAAAATTTACAGAGCCAAATTAATAGTCTTTTCATTAGTAGAAATAAAATTAAAAACATATCCTATCTATCTCCTAACTTTCAAAGTTGTCCAGCAAGAAACCTGGGAAGTGTACTACCTACCTTAAAACAATGCTAGCTTAAGAACATGAGAATAAAAGGGGCTATTAGTAACTGAAATTATTAGCTAATTTTAGATTTAGAATTTAGATTTAGAAGAAAATTTTATCCGTTACATCCAAGATACAAAAGCTGACAACTGACTACTTAACACAAAATCCATGTTGCAGTGTTACCAGTCACGTTATAAATACCGAAGCATGTGCATGTAGCTAAAAGGTCTTTACTTTGGCATCCCTGTTGTCAGAATTTTAAATATGTAGTTGTCTAAGCTCTTCAACAATTATTGCGCATGTCAGCCTTCTCATGGGTTTTGACCTGATTTATTAGGCTTTATCAGGTTGCACAATAAGCATTTTAAATTATTAGCAGCTACCAGCATTTACTCCCATAATAAAGTACAGAAACAAAAAGGAACTTGATTAATTACGTATTTCAAAAACTGTGGCTAAACAGTTCTGAACTGCCACATGGGACTAGGAGATGGCCCAGATCAGAGAGCTTTATTCCAAAAGCCTATCTTACTCAAAAAAAGAAAAATTTAGTTTTTCCTGGCGGAGGCAGACCACCTGCATGCAAAAGAGACTTTAACTAGGGCAATCTAATGTAAAAATTAGGATCTATCTTGTCCATTGCCCCTTTCGGAGCCAAAATGGGTCTGCTCCAGTACAACTACTGTCCTTCCATGCTCTGATGCTCCTATGAAGTAACCTTCAGATGTGCAGCAGCTTTGACTTTCATTCTAGGCTCTCCTGGGCAAAAAGTGATTATGCTTTATGCTACTTGTAAGCATATCTGTTCACTATATAGGTCCGTTTTCTTCTTCTCCTCCCCTCTCCCCCCACCCCAGGTTCTTTTTACCCTTATAAGGAGCTAACAGTTTTCTGTGTGGTCAGACAGCTAAAAGCAGCCAGTTTCAGCACCAAGCCACAGCAAATATTCAAGGAATGTGTTTAGGAAAAAGAAACCCTTTAAAGAACACAACTCTTGCATTTCTTAGCACTGAAATATGACATCGCTAGTTTGAAAGCAAGTACTTTGTACACTACTATGGATATTATCTCATTCATGCCTTATTATAAGGCTTTTAGTAATGACAGCACGTCTGAGCTCATCAGCAGGAGAATGGCAGAAGCTTCAGCTCTGTTAATATGTTTCCTGTCTTCAGGTGAAGGATTACTTCATTTATATTGTTATTCAAAGCCGACTAAAATTAACTGGTGTATAATTTATTCTACAGTGAAAGAACCTAATAAACCCTGTACAGAATCAAATTCAAAACAGTGAATATTTCCTAGCTGGGTTTCTATGAAAAATTATTATCTGGGGAGCTATCTCTACCCATTCCAGTAAACCAGCTGAAAAACTCCGTAGTAGAACTGCTTCCCTGCATTTAAAATTTGTATGCTATATGAGAGTGCACTGCTAAGAGTCAGGGAGAGAGGAAGTTCCATGAAATATTTTCAATAGCATCATCGGTATTTCTCTTTTGAATAGAAGCTGAAGAACATATGGAAATTGGATGAATACTAAAATTAGTAACTGCAGAGTTGCACTACTGCATGGGATCTCCATAAGCTTTTCTGCTACTGTTCACTCCACCATTTATGGGGGGCTCCTTTTCAGGAGAGGTGGGATAAATTACTGATTTTTTATTTCAGGCAAGAAGATTAACTATAACAATAATATCTTGCCTAGCATACTCCCCAAAATAACTGCAGCAGATAGAGGCATTTCTTTCTCCAATACACAGCAACCAGTAAACCTCTGAAAACGATTCTTTCAAACAGCACATATAATTTCCTTTCCTTTTCCCATTCCTTTCTAAATGGAAATAAATTTATAGTGTGGAAAATGAACCAACAAATTCAAAAGACACGAAATGTTTGTTTTACATTCACAACTTAAATCACAAAGCCATTAACAGGTACATTCTTGTTTCTGTGACATTCAGGACAAGAAACACGTAATACTGGAGAGTAGCAACCTGAACTCTGTAATAAACCAAAACCTAACAATTCCTAAACAAAACTATAAATATTTGGCATTCTGCATCTTTACCTTAGCTATCATCCAGGCACAGTTATGTTTACATATACTTTCCCCAGTCCTAGAGCAGCTGTGATGACAAATAAAAATTAATCATGCTGAAGACAAGCACCCATGAAAATATTTGGAATAAGCTGAGGTAGTAAAGTCCAGGAAGCGTTTCCCTTAGCTGAAGGCTACTCCGTATTTGTTTATTTTGGAGTTACTACAGGATAAAAAATGGTTCCACCATTATTTTGACAACATACTCTTAAATGTCTCTGGAAAGATAGCATCTGGGAGCATACTTCTACATCTGCCAGTAGTGACCTTGGATTGTTCAAGATGTGTTTGAGTGATATAAATGTTGAACAATTGAATAATGTTATTCTCCGGTTCTTTTCAAAGATACAATAATGCTGTGCCTACAAGAAACACATAAAATAATTTCTCCTTTAATTAATTAAATTTAACAAATTATTTCTGTCCTTTAAGATAACTTGCAAGAACATTTGCAATCCCTTACTCCACGAGGAAGCAGCAGCGAAGTGACAAAGTAGAGATAACATAAAAGATGACCTCAGAAAATGGGAGACTCCAAACATTGCTTCCTCTGGGGCGCCACCTATCTGACTTATACTGGAGAAAGAAATGTCAGCTTGCTTGCACTGGCAGCAATAACACCATGCAAAACAATATACTATTGTAGATTATTACAGCACTGTAACATTGCATAGCTTGAATGAGGTTCTTACAGGATTTGAACTTTCTCATCAAAGACAATAAGTCTTTGTTTGATTATAAAGTATTCCTCTTCTGTAATATACGTCATATCTGAAATATGCTGAAGTGTGTTCATAGCTGATGAATGCAACCATTTTCAATGTATAAAGTACCATGACAGACTAAAAGAGCAGGAATCAAAAGTATAAAGACTATGATGTTCTTCTATAACATCTCTCTCTGAAGCACGGCACACTGAGGAGCAGAGAATTCACAGATACTGCCTGCGGGATCTCTGAACTACGTTATCTGAATTTAATGCAAATGAATGAAGTACAGAAGAAGCAACTATTTTAAGCAGCACTCATCACTAAATAAGCAATATATTTATAGTAATTTCTGTATTACAAAGCCCACTGACAAAATAATCACAAAACCTATATAGCTGGAATTCCCAAGACTCCTCAGCATTGAGTGCTGGCTCCCACATGACTTCTAGCCACAGTTTCAATGAAACAGCCAGGACAAAGCTTAAAAAAAAAAAAACAAAAACAAAACCCCAAAACCAAACCAAACCAAAACCCAGACCAAACCAAAATGAAAACAAAACACCCTCCCCCACAAAAAAAACCCTAAGCTAAAAGCACCCAAAAAAAAAAACAACCCAACCCCACCAAAAAAAACAAGCCCAAACCAAAACCCTTGTCATGTAGTTCACTTGAAATTATTTTCAAAGCTGTATATGAACAACTGAGACTGATTTTATGGCACTGTCTGTAGTTTCCAAAACACAAATTTCAAAACAAAAACGGAGTTCTTGGAGGGAGTGTCTTTGAATATTTTTTTTCCTGTACAAAGCCATGGAATTTCTCTTAACATTCCTAATCTAATGTTCTTTTAAGTTATTTAAGTACAGTTAATATTAACTATTCTTAATGGTTTTAAATTATGTTAATACACCCTTTGAGAGACCCATAGAAATTAATATAAATTAATCTAATATCCTCACTTGAAAAGGAACAGATGTTTTTACTGAATCAATAGCCTGGACATCTACTTTCTTTTTAAATGGTGACAGCCATTCTGAGCAATGGAACCAAAAAGTACGTAGGATATGGTACTGGGGAAGACATTCACTGAGTTAAATTTTACAATGCATTTATAATTGTACACAGCTTTCATTCATACCTGAAAATTCTACATACCAGAAGCATTCCCTAAAAAACGTAGAAACTCTCCAAATGTGGTTTTACATGGTGTCAGGCAGTAATACTAATGTTCCTTACCCACACTAAAACATGAATCAGAAATACAAGATACTACACACAGACTGATACTTCTACTGCCTCTAACATTGCTTTTGTATGTTCCATGCCCCTCTCCCCCAACAGATTTCCAAAGCTTTTAAAAATATAGTGTGGACTCCTAAAAGATTTCCAGTGAAGCCAAGAACCTTACCCTAGCTGCTTTCAAGCCTTTGGAAAATAAAATTGCTATTACTAATCATCTTTTCAATATCTTTTAGGAGTAATTCATAGATCTGGAAAGGCTCATCAACTATAACCGAGTAAGAAAGCTGTAGATGGTATGAAAAGCAGTATTAAAAATAGTATTCCAAGACAGTCTGCATCTTGAGGGATTTCTTCAACTCTTCCTTCTGCACCATCATCGCCATACTTACTCCACCTTCTGTCTTCCCCAGAATTGTAGGTGTTAGATGCTACAACTGTGGCTTGACAAGGAAAGAACTAAGAGGAAGTAAAAGTATTTCTTGAAGTAAGTACAAAAAAGATATCATAAAAGAAAAGCCAAGTTAAAACCCCCAACCAAACTCCTTCAATCTGTATATATAATAGTTCAGCAAGTAAATAAATTTGTAACTTGGCAGCAACAATGATGACTCTGGGAAGATGGTATAAAAACAAAATGGCATTACTGAATGTGATTTACAAAAACTGTATCTGTCTTTTCATGCAAAATGTACGTAATTTTTTAAAAATGCTTTACTAAAAATACAATGTAAGTAAAATTAGGTCAGATGTTACAAAACTTACTGATCTCTGTAGATCTACTGGGTACTGGAGGAGGCTGTGTACCATTGCGAGTAGGTGTTGATGACTGAGGGGATATGGGAGAAAAGGGAACCATATCAAAGATGTCAGTGGAGGGTGATTTAGGTGTCACACTGCCTGCCTACAATAAGGACAATAAATATTAGGGCAATAATTCACATGAAAAAGATCACAATACTGAATTGTTCAGCATGCAGATAAGAGCCACAGTTTCAGAAAATGTTAAACATAACCATCAGCATGCAAAAACCAGCCCCTGACACCAAGTAAATGGCATTTGCAGATCAGAGTCTGCCACATACTAAAACTCTCCGATACATAAGCAGCATTGTAATTTTTCCTTTTTCAGTCCATCTGGTACAGCCAGAAATGTAACACAGTTAAACCTGAGAAAGCTGGTAACAAGCAGCTCTCTACTGCAGATATATGAATATCTTCACAAGACTCATTTAAGGTAACACTGCAACAAGAATATGCTATGCTCCAGACAAGTAGTTAAAATTAAAATATACAATCTAAACGCTTCTTGTTCAATAATTCTTCCCTACATCATAACTTACTTGGCAACCTAAAAACCTGTTGTGACTAAAGCTTCAAATGTATTTTTTCATTAGTAACAACATGGACATCCAATACACTGAAAACAACAGAGTAAAACTCTCATTTTTGAATGTGAACAGAAGAGATTTCATTAGAAAGGCCCAGGAATTTGGAAGGCTTCAATAAAAGCAAGGGAACGCCAAACTCAACAATAACTATGGTTCTACAGCCATATTTATTTTTGAATGATTCATTCCTCCTACATCAGTCTACTACTTCAAGACACACTTAAGTCAGAATAAACCGAACACTAAAGACAGATGATGAAATAGATTAAAACTGAGATTTGCAAGCTGAAAGCAAAATGTGTTCAAAACTCGTTTGCATAATAATGTTATTACTTCCACAACACAAAACCCCCTATGTTCTATGTATCAGAAAGACTACACAGCCAGGCACAGGGAAAGCCCACTTCTTTTAAATAAGATTCAATTTAACCAAAATATATACATGAAAATTATTAAGAAGTTAAATTAGTCACATGGATCCTATTTCAGAATACATGAATACAAAAATCTTGCAAGCACATAGTCTTTAGTACTGCTGACCCATGAGAGAGTTTCTTGGACCTAAATCTTATTTTAGAATGCTACCTTAAGTGCCTCTCCTGCAACAACTGAAGCTGCCCTCTCACAGCACAAAGCACAGATTTCTAATCCAAGTGTAGAGATAGCCCTAACTACCTCTATTTCTCTCTCAAGGCTGCAGTAGTTCCTGAGAAGGAAAGGATATTGATCCACAGTCTTCCACTGAATACATTACTTAAAGAGAAAAATAGACTCACAAGTCCTACATTTCCTACTCCTAAGGGATTCTGAATTCGTATTTTAAATTTGCATTATAATACAGGCAACTGAAAGCAGCCTCACGACTACATGCCTTGGTCCTTGTAGGGGATTTTAACTACCCTGATATTTGCTGGAAGACTTACACATCCAATCATTCACAGTCTAGGAGGTTCCTCCAGTTCATTGATGACAACTTCTTAATGAAAATGGTGGACGAACCAACTAGGAGAGTCTGGTTGAAGTAGTGACGGTCAACAGCAGCCTGGGCTGCAGTGACCATGAGATGGTGGAGTTTAGGATCCTGTGTGGGAGGAACAGAATACCTAGCAAGGCCACAGTTCCGGATTTCTGAAGGGAAAACTTTGGCCTCTTCAATCAATTGCTAAGGGAAGTATCATGGCAAAGGGTACTAGGTGGTAAAGGGGCTCAAGATAGTTGGTCAGCATTCAAGGACCACTTCTTCCAAGCTCAGAATCAGTGTCCCAAAGGGTAGGAAGTCACGTAGGGGAGCCAGGAGACCAGCATGGTTAAACAAGGAACTGCTGGGCAAACTCATATGGAAAAAGAGAATCTATGGATTATGGAAGGAGGGGCTGGCCACTTGGGAGGAATATAGGACAGCTGTTAGAGGATGTAGGGAAGCAATTAGGACAGCTAAGGCCTCCTTGGAACTTAATCTGGCAAGTCAGGTCAAGGACAATAGAAAGGGCTTCTTCAAATACATAGCAAATAAAACTAACACAAGAAGCAGTATAGGCCCACTGCTGAGTGAGGTGGGCGCCCTGGGGACAGAAGATATAAAGAAGGCAGAGGTGCTGAATGACATCTTTGCCTCTGTCTTTACTCCTGCAGACTCTCCCGGGGGGACCCAGATTCCTATAGCCCCAGAAGGAGTCAGGATAAAGGAGGAGTTTGCTTTGGTAGATGAGGATTGCGTTAGGGATCAGTTAAGTAATCTGGACATCTATAAATCGATGGGTCCGGATGGAATACACCCACGGGTGCTGAGGGAACTGGTGGAGGTCATTGCTGGGCCACTCTCCATCATCGCTGGTAAGTCGTGGGAATCAGGTGAGGTGCCTGAGAACTGGAGGATGGCAAATGTCACACTGGTCTATAAGAAGGGAAAGAAGGAGGACCCCGGTAATTATAGACCAGTCAGCCTTACCTCCGTCCCTGGAAAACTGATGGAACAACTTATTCTTCACAATATCTCTAGGCATATCAAGGATGAGGGGGTCATTAAGAGCAGCCAACATGGCTTTACCAAGGGGAAGTCATGTTTGACCAACCTTATAGCCTTCTATGAGCAAGTAACTAGGTGGATGGATGATGGTAGAGCCGTAGATGTGATTTTTCTTGATTTCAGTAAGGCATTTGATACTGTCTCCCACATAGATAAGCTAAGGAAGTGTGGGCTTGATGTTCAGGTAGTGAGGTGGATCAAGAACTGGTAGAAGGGAAGAAGGCGGAGAGTTGTGGTTAACGGGGCAGAATCTAGCTGGAGGTCTGTGACTAGTGGAGTCCCTCAGGGGTCGGTGCTGGGATCAGTGCTTTTAATATTTTCATCAACGACCTGGATGAGGGAACTGAATGCACCCTCAGCAAGTTTGCTGATGATACTAAACTGGGAGGAGTGGCTGACACACCAGAGGGCTGTGTTGCCATTCAGTGAGACCTGGACAGGCTGGAGAGTTGGGCAGAGAGGAACCTGATGAAATTCACCAAGGCAAGTGTAGAGTCTTGCATCTGGGGAAGAACAACCCCATGTACCAGTACAGGTTGGGGGCTGACCTGCTGGACAGTAGTGAAGGGGAAAGGGACCTGGAGGTCCTGGCGGATGGGAGGATGACCATGAGTCAGCGATATGCCCTTGTGGCCAAGAGTACCAATGGCATCCTAGGGTGCATTAGAAAGGGTGTGGTTAGTAGGTCAAGAGAGGTTCTCCTTCCCCTCTACTCTGCCTTGGTGAGGCCGCATCTGGAATATTGTGTCCAGTTCTGGGCCCCACAGTTCAAGAAGGACAGGGAATTGCTTGAAAGAGTCCAGCGCAAAGCTACAAAGATGATTAAGGGAATGGAACATCTCCCTTATGAGGAAAAGCTTAGGGAGCTGGGTCTCTTTAGTTTGGAGAAGAGGAGACTGAGGGGTGACCTCATCAATGTTTACAAATATGTAAAGGGTGAGTGACAGGATGATGGAGCTAGGTTTTTTTCAGTGATGTCCAGTGATAGGACAGGGGGCAGTGGGTGTAAACTGGAGCATGGGAGGTTCCATGTGAACATCAGGAAAAGTTTCTTTACCGTGAGAGTGACAGATCACTGGAACGGATTGCCCAAGGAGGTTGTGGAGTCTCCTATGTTGGAGATATTCAAGGCCCGCCTGGATGTACTCTAGGTTACCCTGCTCTTTCAGGGGGGTTGGACTAGATGATCTTTTGAGGTCCCTTCCAACCCTTGGGATTCTGTTGATTCTGTGATTATGAGAGATCTAGAACTGCTCAGTATCTAAAAAAAAAAACTGGGGCATTTCTACCTAGGTATACCAAGAAGGAAAAAAAAAAAAAATAAATCACATTTAACATATTGCCTTTTTTTCCCTATTTAAAAAATATATTCTCTCAGTCATGTTATTCCCTGGCAAGATCACAGATGCATTAAGTTCATAAAATAACTAATTTCAAAGATTTTTACATATACATAACTCCTACTGTCCTCCACATGAGTTATCATTGCAGATTCAAAGATCATATATTGTGAAAAGATTTGTGTGCATAGTGTTTAGACACAACAGGCTCTTACTGCTATGGCCATGGACCTTGCATTAACCTCCTGGCACCTCTGTGCACAATCAGAGAACCAGTATAATTTAGGTCAAGGCAACCACTGGATGTCATCTGCTCCCATTCAAAGCAGGGCAATGGATGTGCTTGACCCAAAGGACACATAATAATGAATCCCACATTCCTTGCTTCATAGAAACAAAACTCTCTCTGATTCTAGACAGGCTTTTGTCTACACCAGGAAGGTGGCATCAGGTTTAATGCGTAAGTACATGCCATATATTAATCTACATTTCCCATCAACATTGATGGATAATCCTAGAATCTCATGGAGACAGTAAATGCCAATGTAGATTCTCCTTATTTGCTAAGTGTTTATTAAACATATTTATCTAGAAGCTAAATAAATAAGCAGTATTTATATTTAGTCTTGAGTCTTTTAGGAAAAAAAAAAAGGCAAACCCAAACTTTACACTTCCATTTCCTGGCTAATTGCCATTCTGCTGAGTTACTGGCCATGTTTGTACTACTGCTACAGCTAGTTCAAGTAAAGCTATAATTTGGTTAAGAAATGCACATTTTGAATATATATAAGCATAAGAAGCACTTTTATTTAGTGAACACATGCAGAAAGCCAGGATGTTTCCCAAATACAGCCAAATGTTACTTACAAATGGAAAAAAAGTTGAGAGTATAAGCATACTGATATGAAAAAGCAAGAAATACGCCCATTTTGTATAAGAATGATTTTCAACCTTAATTTTGCACAGTTTTTATAATGTATGCTAAAAGCTATATAATGGCTGTTTACTTTAATATTAATTCACTGGCGAAACAAGAAGTCCTTGAAGTTGGATTTTTAGTTTTGTTATTTTTTAATACCTATTCTTAATAAAAAGAATTTTAATGAAAGATTAGAGGTAATTAATTAATGGACTAATTCAAACATGTTGGGAAAATAAGAATTTATGTTTTGGGGATGAGAGAAAAAAGCTATGTAGAAACAAGAGTAAATTTTCACAAATTCCTCATTGTAAGAGTTTCTCTCAAGAATCTAAGACACATTTGCTCTGTCCTTTAACCACTGTACAAAATGCACATTTTTAATACAAGTTAACACACAACAGAGAACAAAGGAAAACAAAAAAAAATTAAAAAGCTTTTGCACAGCAGGATTACACGAGGTCTTGGCCAGCTGTATTCACTGGTTGGCCTTGGAAGACCACTTTTTGAAGGTGGTGGTATTAACAATCCAGGTGGTAGTTTAGAGTTGGGAGAACTCCTAGGAGTAACTGTAATGGAAGAGGTATCTAAACAAGGAGGCGAATCCTCACTGTTACACCAGAAAAAAGTAGAGGGTCTTTGAAACATATGTTCATCATTATCACACTTTATGTGCAGCAGCTGAAAAGGAATCACAGAAAGAGAAAACATTCTGAGGAACAGAACGTGGGTAACATCAGGAAAAGAAGAAAGAAAAAAAAAGAAAACCAAAACAAAGCACATTTCATACTTCAAAAAAGTTCGTCAGCAACTTGCTGTTCATTGCTACAGTTACAAGATACAGAACCTGAAATTTTCTTAAAACAAAATCGAAAAATACACCACAGTAAGAGGTGACCCAGTATTAAACTCAAACGAAAATGACTTGCTCCTTGATAATCACACCAAACAAAAACAGAGACATCTTTCCAAAAGTGGGTGTCTCAGATGCATTGACAAATGTCTAAATCCAGTAACATACCAGCAATATCTCATATCTGCATATGTAAATTAGAAGGTAAGCACATATCCACGAGGAAAAGTTACTCTGGTGCTTAAAGCACAAGTCAGAATTTTCTTTCTGCAAACCAGGAAACACATTTATATACCACCAATATTTAAAGAACATTTTAAAATCTTCTTACAGTACAAGCTCACAGTGCACAAATTTTAATGTTTACATTAATACTAGAATTTGTTTCATTTCCCTGTCTATAGAATTTGAGAACCTAAACATTTATGGACAGTAATACGCTTCTGCCATCCTTTCTGTGTGGATGAATAGCCACTTGAACTTGATATTTTCAGTAGGTATCTCAAAAGCTAAGACTCAGTGTTGCAAAGCAAAGGAATCCTCATGTCCCTACAACAGCAGCACAGGATGCAGGACAAAATAAAACTTTGCTGTTGTGGAAATAAAAATGTTAAGGATTGCAAGATTCCCTGGGCCTCTTTCACAAATCCACAGAACAGCTTTGAACAGAGGTAAATGAGTAACATCTACACCAGAATACAGATGGTAAGAACATACACCTAAGATGAAAAAGGGGTAACTGCAAGGTTCTGGTCTGAATTAGGCAGACAAGAACCTCAAGCTAGCTGCCTCTTATGACTGCGGAGTATTTAACTTTATATTACAGCAAGATTCAGTGTATATCAAGAGCAAAACTGGAGGTTTTGTCCGCTTTGATAAAAACCAAAAACCTTTGATTTTTTTCTGAATGGGAAATATCAGCAATCCTGAAAGGCTTCAAAAGAAACGGATCTTGCCTAGGTGAAATTAGAAACAAAGAGCCTGTAGTACTGATCCTGGGAAGAAAATCAAAAAGGAAATGTATTTAAATATTTAAGAAACATGCCCAGCCAATCTTTCTGTTGGGACCAAGTTGTACTCCTATCTCAAAATCTGAGGAAAACAGCTTTGGGCAGTTAAAACAAGGCTTTGGAGGACAGACTGATCTTTGAATCTTAACAGAAGGGACTGAACACTTGTGCAGCCAGTTCTTGGCTAGAGCGAAGAGTTTATATACTCAGAAGGCAGGAATTTTGTATGTGCTGTAGGTATCTTGCCTAAAAATCCCTTTGACTTGCTCAGGCTGAAGCAGTGGTAGGTAATTGCAACAAAAATTTTTAAGCCTGCTTTTCCTCTCTTCCAACAGTGTTACACAACTGATATGACACGACTACTTCATTAGAAGCTTGCATAGCTCCACTAGAGCAGGATTTAATCAATTATTTTTTTTTCCAGAGTTATGCAAAAAATAAAACATCTCAACTCTTTTTAACCTGAGTCTTAGTTCCTTTCTTCACAAATAAGCTAGGTTAAGGGTACAGGTATTCAAATTCAGTAACTACGCCATATTTATGAGAAGACCAACAAAAGCATCCAAAAAATCTCTATTCAAAAGTTGTGATTTGTAATTCATAAGAAAAAAAGTTATCACAATTGCAAAGAATTAATCTGTTGCCAAGCTGGAATTGTGAAACAGAGGGTGTGGAATGGTAGTCAATCAAAATGAAAGCAAAAAAACTGCAAGACAGAATTTTCATTATTCTTTCAAGAGTATCACTAGAGGTAGAAGACCTGTGATGCTACTGTGTAATTACTACTATGCAATACTTGATGATATATATATATATATATACATATATATGTATACAAACCCCAGATCTCATAATAGCAAGCACTGGAAGACACTAAATACAAACAGAGTACTTAACCCAAATATTTCCCTGAAATGCAAAACAACACAGGATGAATAGTGTCCATAAAAAAGCATGTATGTCACATGAAAAGAATTATACACAAACCAGCAAAATGCATACAGGATGCAAAGCAGCAAAACTGTAAGAACATGTATCAGATCCAGACAATAAAAGGTTTCAAGCCAAAACTGGAATATACACTATTTGTATCATTCGAGCCCTGAACACTGCGCAGTCACATATCTGATAAACCATGATCTTAGGACACCCATACAGGGTGTCAAGCTTCACATGACAGTTTAAGGAATGTGTCTTGTTCTTGGAATGAATTTTCACCTGCAAGTCTACATTTGCAGTGTAGTACAGAAGCCCACCACTGGGAGCTGGGAACTTTGTGGTAAACACTGTTCTGCATGTTGTGTTTCATGACTCGCTATCAGCCCACTGTGAGGCTAACAATGGTCTTCTGCTTGCAGCCCTATGTATCTAAGCAGCCCACAGACAGGAAAGGTATAGCAGGGAAATGTATTCAACAATGGAAATATACTGGGAGGTCCCAAAGAGAAGCACTGAAAAGAAGGGTTTTAAAAAGTATATAGCATAAAAAGGGTGTAACTTCTGAAACTTAATACTTTTCCACCAAATCATAAAGGAAGAAAAATGTAGTAAAAATACATTAAACTGCCGTTTTATAAGGCAATTGTTTTTTGTCTGAGCTTCTCGCTGTGTAACACTGAACATGTAGTATTGGTCAGGTTGATAAATTACTTTCCAATTTGAGCCTTATTTCATCAACACAAGAAAACAATATGATATCATCCTAAGTGAAATGAACATCAGTTCAGTGGACCTGGTCTCCATTATGAGTAGATGTGATAATGTGCCTGTCAAAGGATTTATTTTTTACTCATTCTACTTAGCATGCTGCTGAAAATGTGCACTATTTAGCTCTATCATACTAGAAAATGTAGCATGACTGAGTTTTTGTTAATCAAGAAATCATTTCAAAATTGTGTGCTTTTACTAGGTGTATCAAGACACTGATTGCAATCTTTGAGTCATATTGTCATACGAATCACACAAGCTTATCGATGAATTAGAAAATGTTTTCCTTCCTTAGAACATTCAGGTTGGTAAATATACTGTAGCTGTTGAAACAAGTTCAGAAGAGGGCTATGGGGATGATTCAGGGGACTGGAGCACTTCCTGTATGAAGACAGGCTGAGAAAGTAGGGGCTGTTCAGCCTGGAGAAGAAAAGGCTGCGTGGAGACCTCATAGCAGCCTTCCAGTATCTGAAAGGGGCCTGTAAGGCTGCTGGAGAGGGACTCACCTCCAGGGACTGTAGAGACAGGACAACGGGTAATGGGTTTAAACTTAAACAGGGAAAGTTCAGCTTACATATGAGGAAAAAGTTTTTTACTGTGAGGGTGGTGAGGCACTGGAACAGGTCGCCGAAAGAAGTGGTGAATGTTCCATCTTTGGCAGTGTTCAAAGCCAGGTTGGACAGAATCTTGCGCAACATGGTCTAGTGTGAGGTGTCCCTGCCCATGGCAGGGGGTTGGAACTGGATGATCTTAAGGTCCTTTCCAACCCCAACCATCCTATGATTCTGTGATACAGAATTGTTGCAGTGGATAACTGCAGTGAATCTTCTAGGGAACTGTGAGTGACTCTGAATTGGACATTATGCAGTTAATTACAAAACCAGAGATTACAAGTTACCTGAGATTTTTGACTACTAATGATATATTAATTTACTAACTCATAAAATACTGTATAAGCATTAATAGTTTCATTAATTCACTGCTACACCTTCAGTTCATTTAGTACTTTTACAATGACCTGAAATCTGATATAGGCAATTCCAAAATTATTTAACAACAAAAACATAATTGAATTTTAAACCCTCATGAAAAAGTGCTCACTGAACTGAATACAGAATATTAAAAATTGAAAGAGCAGAAGACAGGTGAAGAAAAAGTTAACAATTTCCCACTTGGCAGTCTTAATGGAAACATGAATCAAGTGATATGCTAAACACATTCCAAAACTGTTTTTTGAAATATGCATACAGTTTCAATGTCTATCTTGGGGTTTTCTCAAGGGCACGGTAAGGTGTTTTAATGAAGGTAATAGATGCAGGTGGCCTACACTTCCAAGTCACAATTAAAGAACTTCAAAAAAAAATCTAATCCACCAGTACCGTTAATGTTCTATTCATTTTTAAATGGAGGTTTTTTTGTAACACTGCCATGATAGGAATATGTATTAAATACTACTTCTTCGACAATACTTATGGTGAATGGAAGAACATTGTTCTTTTCAGGGCTGTTTGTCCCAGTATCTTTTCCTGCTGCCTTTCAATTTTGCTTCTTTCATATTTCATCATTCTCTCTTTTACATTATTTTCCTGAAAATTCCTGTTTTCTTCTATCTAACTTCAGAGTCGTGCACACGTCACAACTTCCTTCTCTACCTTAAACAGAAGGCCAGTCTGGATGGGGCCTTGAGCAAACTGGTCTTGTGGAACATGTCCCTGCCCATGGCAGTCAGGTTGGAATTAGATGAGCTTTAAGGTTCCTTCCAACCCAAACCATTCTATGATTCTATAAAACATGCTACTCAAAAAGAAAACTTTAAAGGCATGCATGTTAAACTTCAGCCAAGCCTAAAACAGCTTAAAAATCTCTCTTATTCATCAGAGGTTCCCTAGTGGCCTACAATGGTTTACTGCTCAGACAACTATAAAAACTGAGCAAGTGTACCTAACTGCTAACCCACATGAAGGCTGTGAGTACAGTTAACCCAGGCTGCTTCAGGCAACACTACAAATACAAATAGCAAACAAAGAAATCATGTGAAACCGTGCTCCCAGGGATGCACTGATCTTTGCAGGCTGGATTTATACACAGCAACATCCAAAATCTTATTGCGA